TTTCTTTGCACTGTAGATTATGTAACAAGCAAATAAAATATAAAAATGTAACATTGCTATTAGTTGCTTGTACTATTACTATAAAATCAGTGGGACATATTTGCATCATTGTAATATGTTCTTGAACGTGAATTTCGCTTGATATCACTAATAAAAACATTTGTTGCTTCAAACTTTGAAATAGAAGCAGTGCCAAGTTGGAGTTTTACCTTTGGGAACAGGAAATGATCTGGCACGTGTATTGGGTTGGGGGTCTTCTTGTGATGATGATACTCATTTACCCCAGTTATTAGAAAAGTATGAGAAAGCAGGCACAAAAATGCTCGATCGATGGAGTATTATGACTTTTGAGCGTAGCATATCTTTGCCATGTCATAAAACTGCTTTAAGTCGATCTGATACATCTTTAAAGTCCAGTATCGCCCATCAATATGAGAACAGTGTTATTACTCATGTAACAAACATTTTACAGTCAGACCAGGACGATGTAGATTTATCTAGTATTCAGTAAGTATTCTGCAATGAACCGTATATACAAACATGCAACATAAACAAATTATGCAACAAGTAGTAATCAAGAATAAATTTGTGAAATAACAAGATAAAAATATTAAAAATTTTATAGTCGCATTATAATTTATATATTAATATTTGGTGCAATAAATTGTGTTAAATGTGAAGCACTTAAAAATTATTTATTTTTAGAATTTTGTGTGACACAGTAAAAGATTTTGCGTCACATATAGTAGAAAATATAAATTTAAAGGACCAACAGGTGGAAGATAAGTGTAAGATACTTCAGCAGAAGCTTGATTTGTTTTTACAAACATTATGCAAAGAAGGAGGATATTTGAATGAATATACTGAGGAGATAGATAATAATACCCTAAATGCTGATGCATCTTTACCGCTTGAAAACTATGAAAAAGGTGTGCTAGAGAAACCAGAAAAAGACATAACGAATTTAAAAAAGGTTTTAAGAGGAAGACGTTTCATAGAGAAAGAAACTGTAATGACAAGGTATGTTATATAGAATCTTTAAAATTAAATAAAGTATGAATTAAGATTAAAAATAATAATAAATATGTTTATTAATTTTTCACGTGATTATAGAGCGAATAGTTTAAAAAGATTTATAAGACATCTTATAGAGT